AACTTGCTATGTTGCCTAGCATGTCCTCAAACTCAAGATCTTCCCACCTCAGCCTCTAGAGTAGCTGGGATTTCCAAGCATCACATGTCCAGGTGCTGTTTTCTCTTAAACCAACTCCCAACAAGCTTTTCACCCTGCCCCTTGACCAAGAACACCCTGTCGAGGTACCTGACTTCCACGTTGCTGAATCTAATACTGAAGCCTCAGCTTCACTTTATTTATTTATTTGGTGGAACCGGGGATTGAACTCAGGCCCCTGAGCTTGCCAGGGAAGTGCTTATTCCACTGAGCCATCTCCCCGGCCCCTCAGCTTCACTTTATATCACGTGTCAGCAGCATCCAACCCTGACGACCGCACTCTTGCTCGACTCTCAGGCATCATGACTGGCTTTCTTTCCATCTCACTGGGCGCTCCTTTCCCATCTCCTTTGTCAAGTTCTCCATTTCTTCCTAACTTCTGAACCCTGGGGTGCCCCAGGGCTTAGTACCTGGTCTTTGTTCTTCTGTATCCACTTTTGCACCTGTGGTGATCTCATCTAGGCTCCTGCCTTTCAGTACCATCTCTTTTAACAATCCACCAAACATAACAGATACCGTTATTTTTATTCTTATTTTTATTTTTTCAAATATATATATTTGGTACAGAGTCTCCCCCAGTGCTGGGATTATAGGCTGGGCCACCACATGCAGTCTCAGTGGCCAGCTCAGCTCCTCAAGGCGCGGGGCCGGCATGGCATGTGGTCCCTGCGCTTGCCTAAGCAGGCCCTTATGTTGCTGGGCCTCGGACATCATTATTTAAGGTTTACTGAGAAGAAGAAAATGTTACCAGTTAAACTAACACATGGTCAAACCGCGGTCCCCTGTGCCTGTCTAAGCTTGCCCAAGCAGGCGCTATAGACCGCTGAGCTATCTCACCAGCCCTGAACTAATACATCATTGTTGTAAGACTCGTTCCAATTTTTTTTAATAATTTTTTTTCTATTCTTTTTTTTTTTGTGTGTGTGGTACCGGGGATTGAACTCAGGATCTTGTGCTTGCCAGGCAAGCGCTTATTCTACTGAGCCAACTCCCCAGCCCCATCATTCCAATTTTATAGATAAGAAAGTGGGGGAAATTTTGTCCTGATAAAATACAGATGTGCCCCTAAATTCCCAAATTTAAATACCTGGCCCAAGTATCTCTCTACCAGCTAACACATACAGCTGCCACTCATCATCTGGATGCCTTATAGACACTGTACCAAGATATCCCTCAAACCCAGCTTCAGCTCTTCCTGCCAAATCTCTCCCAGCTCTCCCAGCCACCACTTGTAACCTCAGCCTTGTAATTGCTCATCTTTGCCACCTCTGCCACACTTCCCATCCGTTCGGCACACCCATCACATTGCCTCTCCCACCCTCCCTCCCTCTGCTTCTCCATGTGGAAGCCAGCATCGCCTCATTCCCAGAGCCCCACGATCTCCTTCCCTTTAGTCCCTGCTTGCTCTCCTGCTCCCTGACTTTAAAGAAGTACAAAATGCTCAGGGGCTCTCCTCTCTCCAGCCAGAGTGAAGCCGGAGTAAGTCCACCTGAAGGCCCATGAGGCCATGCCCGGTGTGCTCCCATCTCCACTGTCCATCCTCTTCTCATCCTCATTTCTGCTGCAGTCACAGTGGCCTGTGGGCTCCTCCTGTGGACACATCGGCACCCTCCCCTTGAGGGTCTTAGGCTGTCTCCTCTGTCCAGTGCTCTTCCCTCAGGTATCTACATGGCTCACTTCTTCCAAGTTTTGGCTCAAACTTCAATTTCTCAAGGTGACACATCCTGACCACCCTATTAAAAATGCAATCTGCCACAGTACCTTCACCCCTGAGAAGTCAGCTGATGTGCTCAGATGTTATCTTCTAACACAGCCTCTATTTTTACACAAACACACACACACACACACACACACACACACACACACACACTTTAACTCCTGTCCTGCCAGAAAACAAGCTTCAAAAGGGCAAAGATATTTGCTACTAGGTTTCCTGAATTCCAAGAGAAGAGCTTGGAACAGTAGCTTGCCAAAAACATCTGCTGAATAGGTAGAGATGAAATGAAAAGAATGGCAGAATATTTCTTTGTGTGTGTGTGTGGCTGGCTCAGCCCGCCCTGGGGGCAGGGCTGGCACGGCATATGGTACCAGGGATTGAACAGCAGTCCTGTGCTTGCCTAAGCAGGCATTTAGACTGCTGAGCTATCTCACAGCCCTCAGAGTATTTATTAATTCCATAAATATTTACCGAATGCCCAGTATGTGCTGGGTCACAGCCAATGAGGACTGCAATAAAACTGTTGTCCAGATATACCACATCATGGGAAAGGAAGACAAGTCAAACATCTGCTGCCTTTGTGTAGTGAAATCCAGTGGTTAGAAACAGGGATCATGAACCTTCTGGCCACTCTCTGGACCCTGCTAAATATTGTTTCCTCCCCATTGGCTCCTGGGATGCTGCTCTTCACTGGTACCCTGTACCTCAGTCTGCTTTTCCCAGCTTCTAGCCTCTCAAACACCAGCCTTGAGGCCCCACTTTGAGCCCAACTGCCAATGTAGCGCAGTCCCTGGATGCCCCCAGCCCTTCTCACAGCATCCTACACTGCCTTACTAACTTGTTCATCTCTATACTAGTTCCGCCTGCACACCCTCACAAGAACCCTCTCAACTGCAGTACACTGAGAGTGCCCTGTGGAGAACCATTTGTCTGCCCGTCCTACCTTTCTTTCCTTCATTTATCATTCCCTTTTTCTCTTCTCCATCTGCCTACATGCCCTTCTTCCCTTCCTTCCTTCCTCATTTCTCCTTTCCTTCCTTCATACTAGGGATTGAACCTAGGGCCTTCACACTGAGTTACATCCCTAGCTCTTGTTTAGTATTTCATTTTCAAACAAGGTCTCACTAAGTCACTAATTTGCTGAGGCTGAGCTTGACCTTGTAGTCCTCTTGCCTCAGCTCCCAAGCACTGAAATCACAGGAGTGTGGCGTCTCCTAGCTGCTTTCTTTATCTGCATTCTCAGTGCTGGTCCATAGCATGAACAGTTTCCTAGAGCTGCAGGGGAAAGTGGCACTGGATCGGACTTGACCATCAAGACTTCCAGGCACAAGCCCATGGAGTCCTTCTCCCTAAACACCATCTCAACCTAGAGCTACTATTCTACCTAGCTCCAGCTTTCTATCCTCTTCATCAGCTACATGTTGCCTACTACTTTCTTTACTCTCTTCTCTTCTCTCTTCTCTTTCTTTCTTTCTTTTGTTGTTGTTGTTGTCTTTTTGAAAGGGCCTCATTATACAGTTCAGATTGGCCTTGAGCTCACTGTGTAGCCCAGTCTGGTCTCCAACTCTATACAATCCTCCTGCCTCAGCCTCCCAAGTGCTGGGATTACAGATGTGCACCACCATGCCTGGCACTCTCACTTTGCTTGATTCTAATAAATTACACAAACTGTGGCAAAACATTATTTTCAGGCAGGGGAGATAGTTCAATGGCTTAAGTGCCTGCCTGACAAGCACAAGGTCCTGAGCTTGATCCCCAGTATCAAAAAAAAAAAAAAAGAAAAAGAATTGTTTTGACTGTTTTGGAAAACAGATTCAAGCACCTCTAGGCCCTCCATGAGAGGGTCCTAGTTTCCAGCTTGTCTGGGCTTGGCTGAGCATCAAACTACTCCCTGCATGAACACACATGAGTGCTCAGGGCTTTTTTGCTGGGGGATGTCAATGTTAAATGCTCTCTCCCAATGCCCCTGTCCATCTCCTGACATCCTTCTCACTCCTGAGAGCACAGTGTGAAGCAGACAGTGGCCTTAAATATTTGCTCACATCGTCAGTGTATAGCTAGAAGAACAGTTCTTTCATAAGATCCTCAGTCAGAATCGAACTGCCTTTCTTGCTAGGCCCCCTGCCACCTGTTTGTCCTTCACGCGTAGGGTCTGAATAATAAGCTGAAAAAAAAAATAAGCTTGTATCAGAGCCTTGGTCTGTCTCCAGCATAAAAATGGAAATGTCAGCCACAGGGCCTGGCACAGTAGGCACTCAGTCGTGTTCAACTCTGAGCATAAGTAGAGGGGTGGGAAGACGAGCATCCACAGCTGTACCCCAAGTATTCCCAGTCTTTGGCTTATTCAGATACAGATTGAGTGCCAGGCCAAACATACTAAAAAACATTATTCCCTGATCCTCTTATCAGGGATGGAAAACAAAGAAATAGGTAATAAAATTAGAGAAAGCACTGGCTTGAATGTCATCCTGTGCCTAGCTTTAAGTGCCACTTTGTTTTCGACAAAGGGTTTTGCTTTGTAGTTCAGGATGGTCTTGAACTCACTATGTAGCCCAGGCTGTAGCAATTCTCCTGCCTCAGCGTGCTGAACGCTGAGATTACAGGCATGTGCCACTAGGCCCAGCTTTCATCTCTCTCTCTCTCTCTCTCTCTCTCTCTCTCTCTCTCTCTCTCTCTCTCTCT